CGCACGACAGTTCACCGCGATTCATCAATGCTCCAAGCACTGCTTGCCTACCATTCGTCAATTTAATACCGTACAGTCGATGAACCGTACCTACCGTGAACTTTATTCAAAGGCTCAGCGTTTTGATCGCGTTCGCGTCGTTTCTGTCGAAATTGAAATTGCGCGGACATCGAAAATCGCAACAACGATTGGCGCGGCTGAAAGAATTTTTGCGTGACGTAGCAGGCTTGGTTGAATCGTGTAGATTTTTTTCGGTTGTAGTTACTATTGCGGGACAACTGTACACCTTTATTTACTGTTTCAACCGGTGCATACTGGGGACGCATGAGTTCATCTCGAATTATTCATATTTTTTTATTCGTTCGTTTTATTCCGGCCTGACCTCCAAATATTCACGATATCTTGAAATTTGAGAATATGTTTCAGTTTTCACTGAAATTATAGTTTGGATGGACAATGGTCGCTGCTTTTATTACGCACGTAGTGTAGAGTATACTCGTCAAACACAGCTGACTGTTTAAGGGAAGAACGGTTGATAAGATGGCGGCAGAAGTGGGTATAGGAAGACGAGGAAGGGCATTGTGTTGGCACCTCGACGAATGGGGTCATTTGTAGACACGAGTATTACAGGATGGCCAGCGAGCAACTAGAGGCGGTGTGGGGATAGTTTGCACGATGTGATTTAAAGGTCTATCGAGCGATGATGCCTCAAGATTAGTTACCCGCCGGAACATAATTTCCCAGCTCCCGCTGAGTCCTCCTGTCGTAATTTACCGAAACTCACCTGACGACGTATCAGGAATATCTAGCGATCTGTTTCGCTCGCGAGGCAGGGAACTTTATTTTATCGTTTGCGAAAAATGTCTGCTCTTTATTCCTCCTTACAATGTAAAAAGTATAATGGATGTATATTGAAGTGTAATGGAAGAATCTTTGCTGCATAGTTTGGCTTTTTTTTTGTGGAATATATATGTGATTATTGTATTAGGGAGACCGAAAAGTAATGTCATTTCTTTTAAATTAAATTCAAGCAAATACTCTTAACAATTTTCTATTTTTAAGCAATTATGTACTCACCCTCGTTATCGATGGCCCTTTGCCATCTAGCTTGGAAAATTTTCAATGCAACATCGATAAGAATCAAAGAGCTGATGAATGATAAATGAGTATTGAGATTCGCAGAAACGACGTTACTTTCCAGTTCACCTAATATTTCAAATTAAAGTACGCGCTAATAGATATCCACAGCTCCATTTTCCAATTACCATTCTTAAATACGTGAATTCAGATTCTTACTAACATAGCTAGATCAGTATAACATGTATCGTCTGGATGTATTTTAGATGTATCTCAAAAATCTTTTCTTTTATTTTGATTCAAAAGATCTGTTTACACTTTCATTTGTATACTTTTAAATACGTTATGAGTAGACTGGGGATCTTTATACAAAATAAAATCTTCGCGAAAGTGCCTACAAAGATTGAGCCTAAATAGGAAATTATTTTATTTAACCTAAATAGGAAATTATTTACTTTCAATCTGTTTTATATTCTTGCATATTGTTTGCATTTTGTAGTTTCTTTCGCATTCAAATTTCCTATAAATGCATAAAAGATCCGCAGTCTAGTTATGTGCATTTAGTAACGAACAGAACAAACAAGGAGCACGTTTTATTAAGAAATCGAATCGTCGTTTTCATTTCAATCTAAAAACTTGAATGTAACAAAGGCCAATATTGACGTCTCCAATATTTCTGACAATGTCACGACCGTCGATAGCTCGTATTGTTCGATATTTCTTTACGAAAGTAATGGTAGCGTGTAGAGCGATTTCATGGTACCTTCCTTAAGTGAAATTCGATTCCATCGAAACACCTGTCTGGTATGTCCATTAGGCATTGCCCGATAAAATATCAAGTTTCTCATTTTCTTGCTGACGGGAATTCTGTTACTTTTCTCGATCGTTATCGGAAAGACGAAGCCAAGGAGAAAACACGAGGTGAAACTACGTAGACATGAAATTTCAGTTCGATACGTTCCAAGTTGCGGTATTGGATTACGAATTTTTTTAATTCTGGAACCACCGTGGTTGAACGATACTTTTTCAACACAGAATCCAATACCTCGTTAAGAAACGATACCCTTATGTATTCGTGCTTTAATGTACAACTTTTCGATTCACTTGGAGCTAACCGAAACCTGCCTTGATAGATCGTATATAACGTTATTCGAGAACGATAACATTCGAGTACTTTAAACAATTCACACTGAGAGAAGTTGACCGACGATTCCATGCCGAGTTACGACACTTCAAAGTTTCCTACTTAATAGATTTAGATTACCAATGAACGACTGACCCACACATATCGAATCCATGTAGTGACCAACATAAATTCCTGGAAATACGTACGCAATTCAAAGAAATAGCAGTGCAGTATTTCCTAGTAGTAGTATTTTCCTTCAAATTTCTTTAGGAGAGATACATCTATTTTTTCTTTCGAACGATTGCGATGAAATTTGATTTACAAATATTTTTGGGGTTAAGAGTATCTAGCAATCACAATAGCTACCTGTTAAATCGTAGAAATTCCACTCTTCGATTTGAATTTTGTTTGAATCGAATCGGACGATTCCTAATGTATAAATTATGAACGAATGATTGATGCAGTGACCTACATAAATCCAGGAAATGCGTACGCACGATGTAGTAAAGTAGTACAAATTGTAAACATAATATTTCCTGGATGAAGATGACAACAATCACTTTCACATAGTTTGTCTTGAATTTTGATGAAACTTGGTGTATAGGGGTTATTAAAGTTGCTGAATTCAAATCTGAACTTAGAATTTATAAATTCAAAATGGCGGATCCAATATGGCGGCACAAAATGCGAAAAGTGACTCGATTTAGATGAAACGTGATATACCGGGGTTCTTGGGAACGCTGATTCCAATACTGAATTCGAAATTTGGAAATTCAAAATGGCGAATCCAATATGGCGCCATAAAACACGAAACGTGACTAGATTTGGATGAAATTTGGAATACATGGGTTCTTAGGATCGCTGATTCCAATACTGAACTCAAAATTTGCAAGTTCAAAATGGCGGATGCAATACAACGTGGTAAAATGCAAAAAGTGAGTCGATGTGAATGAAACTTGGTACACAAAGGTTTTCGAGGTTGCTGAATTCAAATCTAATCTCATAATTTCGAAATTCAAAATGGCTGATCCAATATGGCGGCGCAAAATGTGAAAAGCGACTAGAGATCGAAATACCTACACATCTGACGTGCAGAAAACTGCCATCACAGTTGCATGATTCACACGAGCAAACGTTCCAACGTCACCGAGCATCGAGTGTCCATGCATTACCGTCGTTTTTTCGAACCTCCCCCGCGACGAGCATCGCAAATATCGACTGCGGTGGTTCGATCCATTGGCCAGATACGTGAACGTCTATCCAGCTTTTTTTTTCCCCTGAGCAAAGTAGAAGCAATTTGGCTCCGGCCATTCGCGTAATGTAAGTTCCTGCTGGAATTCGAAAGTTCCCGGAGCGAATGTACGGCACGAGCCATAGACTTTCTCCGACTACGTGAACGAACGAAAGAGTCTACTACCTACGCGAGCTACCTTATCCGTAAACCGAGCGCGGAAGGGTGCAAACCCCGTCGACTAAATCCATCCCCGCCCTTTCCCCTCTCGCTACACCACGGATGGCCGCTTCATGAAGGTAACACCGTTCCAAGTCGCCTGTAGATGGTATATCGACGAGGAGGACGGCGAGACGGTAGTAATACAACAGCGTATCGAACTTTTGGCAACTCGAAACTATCGACCAGTCCAATCCGTTTCTGACTTGGGCGGTGTCCAGCTGCAACAGCGAAGGTATACGGAAACCCCTTGATGAGCTTCCCAGGAGCGACCGGTTGGACCAACTCTTTTCTGTATCAGACGTGTCGCCACCCTGTCTCCACCCTCCGAAGGATCCTCATTGTCTGTCTCATCGAGCATCTTCGATACCTTCTATCGTTGCTTTTTGTCGTTTTTCTAAGTTCCTGAGTACCTATACTCGAGCCTATACTATTTCTTCCGATCAAAAGGAAATAATAATTTAAACCTTTGCACTCGAGGCCATTTTTGTTTAATATACACAATTATTTAATATGCACAACTGTTCACTGTGGAGATCAGGTGATTATTTTCTTTATTGTAGTGAAGAACAAAGTAATTCACGTCTGAAAGGGACGTAACTATATCTTAGTATCCGAATATTGTTGTGATTCAGCCAGTATCGCTAGTGGTTTCTGATTTTCCTCGTTATATAGTATTTTAACTCTTTGCACTCGAGGCCTTGTTTGTAGTATCTACCAGCGATTCGAGATGCTTTCTTAGCTTTCTATTGCCATGAATTCTAAACTATCGAGATTTTAGAATATGGTCACCTTTACCTCACCGACAATCTTTTTATTGATACGTCGAGCTCCGAAGAAATTGAACCTAAAAACTTTGGGTATTGTATTATAGATTTGCTGTGTGAAACCTAATGGTGACTGAGTCATCTCTCGAGTGCAAAGGGTTAAAAGCGTCATTTCTCGGTCATTTCCACCTGTTTCGAGGCAATTTTCATGATTTCTTTTTGTTCGTATTCTGTCGAAACAGAGCATAATCTTGCTGACTACATAATATTTCAGCATTATACCCGAAAATAGTGAAAGGTACAGAATGCTGTCACACCATACAACGTTACACAAAGTCTCCTACCATAATGCAGGAAGTTACAAAATAATCCCTGATACCGATATACAGTATAGTACAGCTGAAGTAATTTATATAAATTTTAGAATCTGGTGCTTTCAGGTCTGTGTATGTTTAACAAGTTGGACACTGTGTGCACTGTTTTAACCTAACTTTGTTATTTCAAGTTTCGATCTCCCCTACTATTACTCTCTCTTTAACATTGTTATCTAAAGAAGCATTGTGTTTGCTTTTCGTTGCAGGATGTTGCTTCGTAACGTTTTACACGAGGAAGGCAGCCCTGGACGCGCAGAATGCTCTGCACAACGTCAAGACTTTCAGCGGGGTACGTAGAACAACTTCGTTTTACCTGGGAAAAGTTTATCTTCCGATAACCTCGTTAATAATTTTACTAGCACGCGATACTATCCAATTATTAAAATTTTACAATCGAGCGCCTAAAATCTGTATCTTGTATATTTAAAATTTGTTATCTCGTGAAGTGACGCATAATGAAATATTAAAAACACAATCGACCTATGTGGTATCTTCCAATCGTTCGAGCCATAGATAAAAGGAAGCTAGGAATTCTGAACACTTTCAAATTGACAATCTATGTGCCCCAAAGCTATGAGAAAGACATTTAGAATTTTATCTATTCTATAAAATTTTTATAGAAGACAAATTTGAAAGTATCAACTGCAATTATAATTTTATAATTTTAACAGTGCGAAATTCAGAAATAAATTGATTTATTTAGTTCCTGTTTAACTTAAGTTTATTTTAACACATTGATGGCCACGTCACTCATATATGGGCAACAGTGCTTTTCATTGAAAAACGAAAACAATTAATTCTGAAAGTTAAGTGTCATAAAAAATGAATTTAAATGAAATACTTGAATTTTGATGAAGTCACAGAACTAAATACAAAAATAAATGTTTCATTACGCAACTTCCAATAGTCTGTAAACAAAATTTAAACACGGTAGAAATTTTCAAGAGTATTAGACTGGCAGTGAACGTGTTAATAGTAACATATTATGCCTGATCTAGGTTTGCAACATTTCAGTTACATAGCTCTATTCTGACACCACACTATCATGGTTACACAGTGTTCTTACAATACAGCAGACATAGATGTTAACCACGTTCCAAACTACTAACCCTTTGCACTCAAGAGGTGACTCTCGGTCACCACTAGGTTTTACGCAGTAAATTGACCAACAATAATGTTTGTTTAGGTTTCATTTCTTTGGAACTCGAAGTGTCAATAAAACGATTGTCAGTGCAGTAAAGGCCAGTAAATAGTGCAGTAAAATCTCAAATTAGTTTGCGATCACGAATCTGGCTACATTCTCCAAGTCAATCTAACCTTAGTATTCAGGTTACTGGTAGATACGAGAAAAAAAGGCCTCGAGTGCAAAGGGTTAATTTATTTGCGAACAAAGGTGACTGCTATCGGCTTGCACCGATACTGTAACACGTGGGTGATATGAATATATTCGAGCGCACCACGCGATTAATGTTATTTTTTTACTATGTTACGTAATATTGGAATATCGCCAAACTACGACACGATGCGGTCAAGGGTCGGATATACGTGCATTGGAAAAACTAATTGGACGTAGGTTATCATAGAAAATGTAGGATTACTCTATAGTCGTGTCATGCCTGTTAATCTGGTAGCTAGAGCCACCGGAATACGTGAAAATATCGGCGCGTGTTGAATTGAGATCAATCAACGGATATATTCGCCCGACCGAATAATGAATGCTTACCCAGATGATTATCCGAGAGCCCATGATTCGCGTAATCGAGATATTGACCGAAAAATGAATATTAATACGGTTGATCGTTCAAATAAATTATTCAAATTCGGCTCGACCGATCGACCAATCCTTCGACTAATCGTAAACGGCTAGGCACGAGGTATCTCATGTAGGCATCATCATTACTTGTGCATCGGTCGAGCACATTATTAAACCAAAAATTGAAATCGATTTCGCTATGTTAGAGGAATTAATCGTACAAACCCCGTTCATAAATATATGGACAGTTAGCACGTTCGATGAATAATTAATACACACGGTACATCATTCCTATAACATTTGCTATTGCTAAATTCTATTTCAATTATGTATTTAGTAACATTTAGTAATATTAAATCGTATAATATCGAAGTTTCGAGCGACATATTAAATTTCAGAGGGAAACTGTGCGATTGTTTAGGTAGAAGGTTAGATAGATTTAGTTTAGACATCCGAAAAACATTTGTGACGAGATATTATGTAAAATAAATGAAACGAGGATATTAATAACTAGGACGTTAAGATTGGTAAAAAGGCGAATATGTCTCTGCGTTCGTGTCGTTTCGAATCGTTCTGAAATTCGACACGATTGGTTTTATTTACTCTCCCGTAAAATTGAAATCGGATCGTTTAGAGAGAAAATATATCTGGAAAATACCTTGCTTTAGCAAGTATTTTAGTTAAACGTCTAACCATGTATTTTGAAACATTCATCTGTGTTTGTGTAATTCGAAATTGTGAAATTCAATTTGGTCGGATCTGTGACATATTCTCTCTTCTGTACTATTCGAATCAGTCCATTTACGGGGGAAAACAGCCCGTAAAAAAGCTCGCTAAAGTATTTTCCGTCATGGTCGTCATTCCGTCAATTGTCGTGACGCGACCGATGGTATCGTTGGAACTGCAGCCGTGCGATAATTACAGTTTCCCCGCGAACTTTCGATGCAATTACGAGACGTCATTACGAGCATTTAACCTACCAATTCCCTTCACCCCGTTTCCACTCTAGCTACCTGCATTTATGCTTGAATTTACGAGAATAATTATCACCGACCGAGACCCTGAGTAACTCCGTTTCCTGTTCCATCTAAAGAAGCAAACAAAGAGAAAACGAATTTTAGAACGCCACATTAATGACAATTTCGCCCTCTGTTTCACTCGCAAATTGGCATCGATCACGTTCTATGAATTACAATAAAATGTCTATGTTTCCTTGATAAAATTGTTGAGGATAAGTACAGTTAAAAGCAAAAATTATATTTGTCCCGTTTGATAAAATAAGCACTGTTGACTTCTTTAAGAATAGTGACAAATACGTTTTCATTTAGATTATTATTTGGATTAAATATTTTAACGAGGAAGCAATCGCTAAAATGTTATATTCATACAAGATGTTCTTACACTAATTCTTTAGACGTATTCAAAATTACATTTTCCAATACCGTAAGATAGCGGTATCGTTCAAAGTTCACGCTGTTATATCTCCAAAACTTCCTAATCAATTCTGAAATCTTTGAATATTTATGCATATAAAGTTGGATGTAAATAAATGTTTACGTAGATAGTCTCCACTGTGTAGTCTACCGCTACTTGAGTAACTTCATCATAATTCAAAATGACGAGAAGTATCGATTTATCTGAGAGAAGGACATATGTTCCAAAAGAAATATATGCATGGTTCCATTAAAGTAACGTGCATTTACAGATACACAATTGTACTCCTAGAAGAAAACGAAGCCATCGAAAGATAAATCTTGTCATAACATTCAACGTTTTCTTCTGACATTTTTCTTTTACCTTCAACGAAGCTGGAGAGAATGCTACGAAATAAAAAGAGAAGAAATGTAACCAAGGAAGCAAAAATACGTTTGAATAATAGTAGACGAATCTTCTATTTTTAATTCTTATGTTATTTTGCCTCGATGCCTTTTATATTTCTTAGTATATAATTTGATTTTTGTGTGTATTTCTTACACTCTTTGTGAATACATTTTAATGTTTACATCTTACATTTTACTACTTATACTCTTCAACTAAATTCTCTAGAAATCTTAGATTTTGACCTAACGAGAGTTAATACTTTTGTATTCAAACTTCTACGTTATTCAATTCATTGACATAAAGAGTACAATATTATCCACAGTCTACCGCTTTAAATCGTGCAACATTCTCGTAAAAATTCTTCTTTTTTTTTTTTATTTGTCTGAAATATGCAGTACTTCTAAACAATCCTATGCACTATGCTCACCAAGATTTCTTTCCAGATTTACTACAATCAATTAAAAGTTCTAGAGAAAAATTACAATTTGGACGTGTACTTGTCTTGTTATGCAGGAAAAGTCAGCATAATTGGTTGGTGAAAGATCGAAACTGTTTCTGTAACTTTAACTCGCGTTACAACATTGCAGCCGATATATGCAACGGTTTCGGATAAAATATTTCTAGAAATACGTACCGACGTATACGTGCGTCCACGTGAACGCACTTATCGCGCAACCTAATAATTATTCGTGATCACGCGCGCGAGATCATGGCAAGGTGGTATCGCGCGCTGATTTGTCGAGTGATGACGAGAGTACGAGGCGACGAGCTTTTCTTGATCGTCGCGGGGCGGCGGCACCGACTGTGCCCGCCTAAACCTCGGATATTTATCGCCGTACAAATTACACCCCAGGGATTTTACGGCATCGTATGGGCTGCTCCGCTCGCATATTGGAGACGAACGACACGTGCGGTTTTCCTCCCCCGTCGATCCACCCCATTCCTATATCTGCAACTTGGTGGAATTAGGCTTCGTAAATTGAATACGCCACGCAATCGACTGGCTAGACAGGACCGATATATCACGTTTCGTGGGAATAGAGCTACAGTTAGGCTCGCTCGAATTCGACTGAACAAAACCACCGTATTGCACTTATTACTAGAGGAACAATTAGGCGTTGTATACTCTTCTGTTTACTTTTCATGAGAAATCACATT